CAGACAGACAAACGGTTCACAGAGCGAAGCAAAACGAAAAACAGATCCGAAGGGCGCTATCACTTATTAGACATGGTCGGAACCACCTGCAGCACGACACTGCAGGGAACAATGAGGTTGATCAAAGCCAGTGATTCTCGTCCCTCGTCCTTCAACGGTTTATCTGAACGAGCAAAACGCAGGACGAACAACGAACATATCCGACCGACTCCGTCCACCTCTAACCCAACTGCCTGTAGTAAAGTACAACACGAACGACGGCTGTTTAGCATTGTAGTCGATTGCCAACGAAGTTATGCGTTACGCTTTACTTTAGTCGACAAACAAAAACCGTAGACAAACGACTGTAGTCATGAAGTAGTCGCGGTTGTCGTCGTCGCAGTGTCACCGTAGTATTCATTTTATCACGGCTACAACACCCAGTACCGCTACTTTCGGACTATCGGACACACATACACAGTTATGTGCTTGTTTTTATGCTTTGTCGCGACAACAACAAGCAGGTCTTTGACTAGTTACTTTGTGAGATACCAGTGCATTCCATTCTTGCTTGACATTCTCCGTCGTTTCGGCGCGCTATACGTCTGATCTGTAGGTTCTTCAACAATATACGTCTAAGAGAATTAATTTTACTTATTTGCACCCGAGTAATGCAGATTTTCCTCATTATCTGTAACTATACTCTATGCAGACAAGCTTTTCAAAAAAGGTTATCATGTACTTCAACTTATTTACAACAGTTTGTCAAACAATGTGACAAATGAATCACAGCTTTGCTTTACGTCTCTGTTTAAGAGGATATGTGAACAATTTTCCTCCTTCAACTGCCTCTTTGAAACTGATATCGCGAAAGCGAGTCAGGATAACAGCTGTCATTGAAAAATTTTTTCTTAAAGTCCAGCTGCGCATAATATTGTCTGCTAAGTGACTCGCTTCTTCAGTGATTCAAAACTCATGTGACCTATTCTTGACACTACGTCATGCGAGAGCAGCAATTCCGTTTTAATCATAGCTAAAAATCTTCCGACTCAATAGAATAGTCTACGGGCTACCAAAATTGTTTTGCACAATGTATTTCTTGTAAATCAGGCAGTCGATCATGATTGCAACTCGTAAAGTTAAGCTCAATGTCATAGGCGAATGAACCTACCGAGCTTTCCCCAATTTTATGCATGCATGCTAGAAAATGACAAAGTTAAATCGAGATAAAATTAGCAGATTAATTTAAAGCTAAACAGTACCTCCACTGGCCTCAGCGTTCTGACCAGGGCATACATACAGATTACCTGAAGATCATTATTCGGACATATACAATTGGCTCCTGATCAGATCAGTAGTGAGGGGTTTACAGATTTTAGGTAAAGATATCAATTGAAAAACATGCTAAATGCTAAAATAGCCAGCAACAGCGTACCAACTATATATCATCAGTTTTGCTCTAAGGAATGAAAACGAGAATGATCAAAAGCACGTAGTGTCGGAAAGTCATGTCGATTCTACGTTAATTTTATCACAATATTAATCGTTATTCATATCAATTCAGGGGTTTTAGAAACACACAGAAGACCGACGTTAGCTCATTCATATTATTAACGACTTGAGCAAACTGAATCATTGCCAATCCTCAAGTTGTACACCTGCAGGATTATTAATTGGGCAGCACAATAAAAGATTTTAACATTTGGCACACCATTCTGTAACCTGTCACCATTTGCAATGCAGTTTTCCAGAATTTACAATTTAGGCTTTGAAACTAAACCAAAAAATAAACAGAACATCACTCCTTTACCAGCAACATGAAAACACTTAAAAGTGGTGTCTCAGCTGCATTTGCGATTAAAGAACGATTTGGAAATGTTTAGCCACGGCATTTCTTTCTTTCTTTCATCCTTACATTGCTGCTAAATCATAACAGTTCAAGCAAAAAACGCAAATACGCAAATCAAGAAACCCATAGCAGTGTTCTTCCCCCAACTGTGGTGCCATCACTTACAACATTGGTAGGAACTGCCATAAAATCTTCAGTTGATACACAGTGTCCTAAACCTTTTGGATGGAAACATGACATCAGTTTAGGTCATTCCTACGCTATAATTTAACGACGTTGCAAGACCATGCACGATCTATTTGTGTCACGTACAAATGATAACTCTAACTTAGATCATTGCGCATCATCAAGTTCACTACATTAGAAATAGTCAAGAATGACAAAGTAACTGCAATTTCGTATTCAGCGATAAATATATTAGAGATGCTGCCTCCGTAATGAATGTTAATCTGACTTGGTATAATTGCTTCCTGGCATCAATAAGGGGTCTTCACGGGCAGGTACGGAAACATTAAGCTAAATGACAACTGGAGTCATAAATTAAGGCCTGTGGTGTCTTTTCATCGTATTTTCATGATATGCAAAAGAAAGATAATTTGTCTTTGAAACTTTGCATTTCTTTAACATCATAAACCTGTTACTAAATTCAGTCCAAGTGATCGTAGAATAAATCAGTTCTAATTCAGATACTTAATTATATTTAAAGGTTAAGTTCCATAAAGATGAAGGTGAAGAGGACAAAGATATCATTTTCTCGATTCATAAGTCTCAACATTGCAATAGGTATCTACATCCTTTTTCTAATATACAACCTTCTATTATCAATTATATTTAACTGATATTTCATCTAGTGCAGCAAACAAGCTCTATCGACAGGCGAGTTTGGCAGGCATAGCAATTGCAAATGTTGGCTTTACCCTTAATGCCAAGAAATCAAATTTATGATTAACCCTCCGAAATAGTTGATCTAGGAGTGGAACTTGGAATCGAAGCAGCGAATGTAGTTGAAACATTTAAGTTACTACGGCCTTCATCACGCTTGATGACGACGCGGTTAGTATCGCTTCCAGTGCGTTTGCCATGCTGTTAAATAATTGGGCTGAAACTGTTAAGTCTTTCTATAAGAATCTCCTTCCATCTTGTTTCGATCAAGTCAACGTTGTTGCAAACTCCCAAGTAAGCGACTGTCAAAATTTCTGCCTTTGCATGACTCTTTCTTAGACACTTAACTGCAGATCATTTCTTCCATGCTTCCTTCCAAAATTTATGCCCTCCAAACGTTGGGGAGAATAACCAACGTTGATGAATTAGCATGACAATGGCAGCTGAGTTCGACCATGCATCTTATAACGTTTAAGGTAATTGTTATAGAAGGACAATGACTATCTACCCAAAGGAAATGAATCCTGAAGAAAATCGTTAAAGTCATACTCCTTCATATCAATGATAACAGAAATGAACATGCTACGCATTAATATAAACCAGGTTTCCAAGCCTGGACTGGCGAAACTGCGACAAGGACGTCATGTACCTTCCCATTCTGTAACATACATAAGTGGTCAAGCATGAT